GTGAAGAGGAAGTTGTTGAGGGTCATGATCGCCTGCATCCTGAAGAGATATGGCTCATAGAAGAAGATTAAGAAGAGGAGGAGGAGGAGGAGAAGAAGAAGAAGAAGAAGAAGAAGAAGAAGAAGAAGAAGAAGAAGAGTTTATAAAAATGTTTTCATGGACTTCGCAAAATGAGAATTTTCTCTTTTGATTCAATTTGGCAGTTGCATTTAGTAAATATTCTTAATATTGTGCATTTTTAACACTACGTTTCCTTTCCCAAAAGTAGCTTTTTAATGAGGTTTTATGGCTCAACGCCATATTCTGGCTGATTTACTTTTTAATAAAAGTATAATTTTAAAATAGAAAAATATTTTCAATAAATATTTGAGTAAAGTGAACACTACTTTGAAAATTGTCAGTAGGTTGAACACCTATCTGATCTACCAACAATTTCTTATGACTATAAACATTATATTTAGAGACTATACGTGTTTGAGTAGAAAACAATGAAACTATTTTCAACTGACCTGGGGATAATATAGTTAAATTTATTATTTATTACAAAGAAGACGATGACTTTATCTATCTATCTATCTATCTATCTATCTATCTATCTATCTATCTATCTATCTCAGTGCAATATTTATCAATCTGTCAATTAGTTCAATATCTATCCATCTATCAATGTTCATATCTATCTATCTATCTATCTATCTATCTCAGAGAAATATTTATCTCTCTGTCAATCAGTTCAATATCTATCTATCTATCTATCTATCTATCTATCTATCTATCTATCTAAGTGCAATATTTATCTGTCAATCAGTTCAATATCTATCTATCTATCTATCTCCGTTTGTCTGTCTGTCTATCTATCTATCTATCTATCTATCTCCGTTTGTCTATCTATCTATCTATCTATCTATCTATCTATCTATCTATCTATCTCCGTTTGTCTGTCTATCTATCTATCTATCTATCTATCTATCTATCTATCTATCTATCTAATATATATGGAATCTTGAACCAGGAGGCTTACCGCCATATCGCATTCCCCGTAGTCCCCGTAGCTGTTATATGCTAGTTTTAAAATTGCAGACACATACAGCTACCATGAGTTCGATCCTTTCAAATACCACCTTTATTTTGGCATCGTAGAGTACAAAGTTCAGTTAAAAAAGAAGGAAAGAATTATATATATTGAGAAAGGCAGTAGATATGGACATTTAATGAGCTCATAATTTTCAGTCAAAATTGAAGGCACTTAACAAATTTATCGTAAAATTCAATGTGAAATCTTTTGAAGCACCACCCTCAAGCTTCTATCTTATGACAGGAAGATATTACTATACATATAAACATTTCTTAGATGTTAAATTACTTTAAATGGAAAAAGAATACTGATATAATTGCATTGAATCTTTGATGATACTGACACTAGTTTAATCAGTGCATATTTTATGACGTGTAAATAATGGCTCATGAAACTGCTTTTCACAGCCAAACGTCTAATAAATATAAGAAAAATAAAAACCAAAGCGAATCGACATTTCTAGGGGAAGTTAAGTGTTTCAGTAGATTATAGAAATAATTTTGATTATTGCAAAAGAATAAAACCAAAAAAGAACGAAATAATCGATTATTGGATCTTAACACAAAACTTTTTTCTCTACTCAATTAATTCTTAACGTTTTCGGCTTCCGTGCCCAAAGGATAGACAGTTTTAAAGACTTAATGGTGTGTAGAAGTCGTGATGAAAATGTACCGACCGGAAATTCGCTAGTGGGGTGGGATGATGTTGCCTTTCGTTAACGCTGTGAATTTCCTTCAACGGAGTGGGGGGATTGTTTCGACATCATTCACTGATATATGAAATCGATCAGATGCTGATAGCACTTACCTATCTACCACTTGTCTATATCTACATCTACAGAATTTAGTAATGCTCTAGTGGAAATGACTGAAAGCTTACCCCTGATTTAGTCTAGCTCCAAACAATATATTCGCAATAAAAAGATTGGGTTAGAAAAAGTCTTGATTCTTTCTTTTCGTATCTAGGATTAAATGTTATCCAAGATCCTATTGGGAGAATTTTATGCAATGTTATATTTCATGATTGTATTTTTAGTATACTATCTATATCTTTCTTACTTTCCACACACACACAAATATATATATATATTAAAGATATTTTTATGTTTAACATTCTTTTTATAGATACAAGTAATTAAGTAAATGCTCTGTTTATAATAAACAGTATTAAATAACATTTACCGGCCTGAATGTCCGAGAAATTTTCATAGAAAATATTCGTCCTTTGACAGGATTCGAACCTGCATCCTATACGGAACCGTCATTTACGCTGACGTGCCTTACCGTCTTGGCCACAAAGGAGCGTTCGTTAGGCAAGGTCGAATTTACTGCTTATAAACTTCAATCTTCCATGAATCTCGTACATTCATAACTGCTCATGTCGTATCAAATGTAAACAAATGACGTCATACATTAAGAATTGGACAAAGTCCGACAATTTATTAAAGACATTTCTATGAAAAATTCTCGGACATTCAGGCCGGTAAATGTTATTTAATACTGTTTATTATAAACAGAGCATTTACTTAAATACTTCTATCTATAAAAGAATGTTAAACATAAAATGTCTTTAATAAATTGTCGGACTTTGTCCAATTCTTAATGTATATATATATATATATATATATATATATATATATATATATATACGAAGAGAGAGAAAAGTAAAAAGAAAGTAGCCAATTTTGGTAGTATTGAGTTAATATTATTTATATATTTATATTATATTTTCTGTTTATACGTTATTTTTTGTAAATACAATTAATTTAAGTAAATGCTCTGTTTTTAATTAAAGTGTAATAATTACATTTACTGACCTGAGTGTTTAGAGAAATGTCGTAGAGAATATGCGTTCTCCGAAAGGAATCGAACCTGTATTCCTTTACGGGAAACGTCGTTTGATCTGACGTGCTGTACTATTTTGTGTCTGGTTAGCAAAGTCCAAATTACTGTTTACAAACACAGAATCTTCGACGATTTTTCACGATCGATTATATCTTCTCATGAAACGTAATTTAAAGTAAACAATGACAACATATTATGAAGCGGATTAACACCGACGATTTTTTAATATATTTTCTGACTCTGTAGACAAAACGTTACGGCACATCAAGCCACGTGACGTTTTCCGTAAAGGAATACAAGTTCGATTCCTGTCGGAGAACCTATATGTTCTACGAAATTTTTCGAACATTCAGGGGCAGTAAATGTAATTAATATTGTTTAATCAGAAACAGATCATTTAATTAAATAAAAATAACGTATAAAAAGAAACTACATTAAGTAATTTTCGGTCTTAATCCATTTCATTATATGTTGTCATTGTTTACGTTAAGATACATTTCGTAAGCATAAATGATCAATCGAAGCAACTCGTTGGAGATTGTGCGTTTATAAACAGTAATGCGGACTTTGCTAACCAGATGCTTCTCTGTAGCTAAATGGTATAGCACGTCAGATCAAAATGACGGTTTGCCTATAGGAATACAGATTCGAATCCTGTCGAAGAACGCACATTTTCTACGTAATTTTTTGAACATTCAGTTCAGTAAATGCAATTAATAGTGTTTAATTAAAAACAGAGCATATAATTAAATAAACTGCATCTATAAAAATAACGTATAAAAAGAAAATATATTAAATAATTGTCGGACTTAATCCATTTCAATATATACATTTTTATTTATATAGACATATATGTTCACAGACACACAAAGATACAAACAATATATATTATTATGCTCCTGAAAATTTCGGTTGAGCAATGTTGAGAGAGAGGATAATACGAAACAGCAACCATCTCTTCTAACGCAAAGCTCTTCATTAAAAATGAATCGAGCACTAGGACTACCTGGCGTTTGTTTACATTGGTAAAAAAAATAATACGCTAGAATTTCCCATTCGTTTTGCCGGGCGATGATAGCTCAGGGGTAGAAAATCCGACTGATGCCAAACCGCACAGATCAAACAGGCCTGTATGTGAATGACATTATATATATATATATATATATATATATATATATATATATATATATATATATAAAAGAACACAGAAACCGCAAACGTTTTGGTTGTAATGTGGAATTTTTTCAAAAAATATTATGCTTTATTTTTCCGTAATTTTCTTACACGTGTTTCCGGTCTCGCGACCGTCATCAGGCAAAGCATGTAGATTTCCACATATTATAAAAAATAATTTGTTTCTTATGTTTTCCGATGTTAAATATTCTCGATATGAGATATTCTCTTTTTTGTGTGTTAGTGACCCTATGTTTTTCTTGAACTGTCATATATCGAGAATATTTAACATCGAAAAACATGATAAAAAAAATTAATTATTTTTAATAATATGGGGGAATCTCCACGATTTGCCTGATGACGTTTCCGAGATCGGAAACTCGTGTAGCAAAATTATGGAAAATAAAGCATAATATATAAAAAAAATCCACATTACCATTAAAAACGATTGTGGTTTCTTTCGTGTTTTTAATAAACACACTTTTCTCATGTTGTAACTGCTATAGCCTCTTCCTTATATATATATATATATATATATATATATATATATATAAAAGAATATTAATAAATATATATATATATATATATATATATATATATATATATATATATATGAGAGAAGCATTTGAACATTTTCACTACACAATGATCGAGAATATAGCGTATAAGGCCATGATTCTTTTTGTTATGCAAGATAAAATTTGCCCCGGAAGATATTTCAATTTTATAAGTTCTTTTGTCATATTTATTAAATCGGGGTTCCAGAAACGCAGAGGTTTTTATTGCGTATCTCAAGACAAGTTTATATTTCTGTTCTATGCTTTTCGTCATCCAGTTACATCTGAAATGTATATTAAGTTTTCCATAAGAAAATTCACTCACTACAATAATTCAATATTCCCCTCCGCATGACGTCCTTTCCACACCTGAGCTATCAGCGTCATCTATCTATCTATCTATCTATCTATCTATCTATCTATCTATCAGTGATTCACTTTATTATCTATCTATCTATCTATCTATCTATCTATCTATCAGTTCAATATCTATCCATCTATCATTGTTCATATCTATCTATCAGTGATTATCTTCAATTATCTATCAGTGATCTATCTATCTATCTATCTATCTATCTATCAGTTCAATATCTATCCATCTATCATTGTAAATATCTATCTATCATTGTACATATCTATCTATCTATCTATCTATCTATCTATCTATCTATCTATCTATCAGTTTCACTTTAATATCTATCTATCTATCTATCAGTTTCTATCTATCTATCATCATTACTTCTATCTATCTATCTATCTATCTATCTATCTATCTATCTATCTATCTATCCGTTTATCTATCTATCTATCTATCTATCTATCTATCTATCTATCTATCTATCTCATTCACTTCAATATCTATCTATCTGTTCAATATCTAGCTATCTGCTCATTATGTGTGTAGCTATCTATGGAATATATACATCTTGACCTCGTTAAATATTCATAAGTTATGGAAGATCAAACACTATCGATAACCGTGACAGTTTTTTTTAAAGATGTCCTTGTGTAATCAACCCGTAGAAAATATCTATATTATTTTAAAAACCTTTCTATTATTTTTTTTCATTTTTATAAATACTCTCATAAAAAAATGACCCTGAGTCATTATGCCTATTCTGACATGGGCATATTGTGTCAATGATACGCGTAAGCAGATAGTTTACACACACACACACACACACACACACACACACACACACACACACACACATATATATATATATATATATATATATACAACAAATCTCCTGCCATCTGTGAGACATTGTAACATTAGTAACCGTACATTATCAATGCCTCAGAGTTACACGGTGGCGCATGTTGCGATAAAGTGCAATAAATTGAAAAACTCCTTTGAATGGAGTTATCATTCTATGGAGACACATATTTGCATTTCTTTTCAATTAGAGTCATTTAAGAGTGGCCGGTTTATGGTTAGATGATCATTTTGGAGAATTACTGCCCATGCTGGACGTGCTTCAACGCTGGCAACTATCGTATCGGATTCACCAAGAGTTGTAATGGCTTCAGTGGCAGTACAGTTCAAAACAATTGTACGTCCAGGCGTGCCAACAAGTTTCACTGTGAATCATTCAGGGCGCAGGCGATATTTACTTTGATTCTATTTTATTATATGTGAATTGTATTCTCGAGAAGTTTAGTGATGCGGTTTCTTGTTTCCTTCTTCAAGGTTTAGAAATCACCTTTCCTTATATAAGGCTTGTTCCAGCAAGGGTAAAGTACCCAGGTTATCGAGCCATTCAAATGGTAAAGATGGATGGTAAAGATTTCACAGTACCTGCCAATGGAATAGAGATATGCATTCCTCAAATCGAACTTATACTTATACCAGAACATATGCATAATAATAATGGTGTCGCGAGTGAGTCCCAGTTAGCGCAGTCAAGTAATAGTAGTAAGTCTTGCTTTCATGCAAATGGTAATATCTTGTGCGATATCAATGTCGTAATTTCCAACACTTTTCACACTAGACGAAATTGGACAGGTGCAATGTGGTTATGCCGGCGGCCAAATGCAGAATCATGTGACCTACATCTTGTTTTGCATACGTAACAACGAAATGCATGAGTGAATTTTATAAACAACCGCCCTATAGAAAGGAGTAGACTGTCTGTCAGACAGCAGAGACGTGAATGTAAAAACGACGACTTGTACCAGTGGCAACGTCTCCGTTCACGCTCACACTGACCGATAGCAATTGACAAAATCATGAGTCAATAAAACTTAAACTAATAAGGCACAAATTCAAGCTTCTTCACTGACTTTCCGATCATGGTGCGTATATGGGCAACATGGGATGCCACCTAATATTTATTTTATTTAACCCATGTTGTGTAGAAAAACAATCAACCATCTTTACACTTATTGTTGAATAGAGACTCATCCATTCAGTAGAAGAAGGACGTCGCAATGTCGATCGCAATACATAGCGTTGAGGCGTATGCATTGCAACACTGAACTCCCATGTTTATTATTACTGTCTCATTAATTCATGCCCTTCTTGTGGTTAAATTTTTCCTTTGCTAATCTTTTTTCCAGTGTTTTTTAGAATATTATTAACCAGAAACTACCAGCATATATGAATATTACAACAACCCACAAAAGAAACTTTTTATGTTCCGTCAACAAATGAACATGGCGGGAATAATGTATCATTGAATAGTTTCCTCATCTGCAGTACAGCTTATCACGTGAGAGTGCAAAGCTGTGAACTCGGAAGTTTTTTATATCGTATTTTAATATGGAAGGCGTCAATTTCAAGAAGACATATTGTATGGTCGTGAATAATTGACGTATTCAACAAAATGTCGAAACTTGCTTTATACGCTTGAAATTATTCATTATATCATACAAAAACTTAGAGCCGATGACACAACATTTCAACCTCAATTTAGGTTTATAGTCCGTAACCATGCAATGAGATGAGGTAACATAAACCTTAGAATGCTCTTAAAATATCATTACATTATTGTTGTATAATTATTGTGAAATTATTAAGATTTTTCTAAGATTTCTCTCTTCCAAAATCAAAACAGAGTAATAAACAACTGAAAAAAAGGAAAAGGTCTGGCCAGCTATGTAATATAATTCTGGGAATGCTGGAAAATTTTGTGACAGATGAAAAGGATGCTTGACGCAATAGAAATAGGATACATCTGCATGATGCTGATGATATCAAGATCAACACATGATTGCAAAGGACGTGGTTTAATGAAAATGAGCTCAAAATGTAACTTTTGATTAGAATCAAAATGATGTATTTGAGATTTTGGGGGGCATATAATGAGGAAAAAAAGCTTAGAGAATTTAATACGCACAGAACAATCTAAAGGGCAGGAATGAAACGTTGTGTAACTTACATCACGATCTTGTGTAAATGGATAGCAAAAGAAGGAGTGGAAACGATAATAAGTGAACAGAATTCGCTTACAGCTACATAGGTTAGGAAGATGTGGAGACCCAATATCGCCTGTCTCTTGATCCTACATGGCTCATAAAAGAGAATGTGGTGTATGTATTTATTCATCCTTTCACCTTTTCCTTCTCTTAATTCTCTCATAACAAGCAATATCTTCCTCATCTTCACCTTGGTTTTTGTTTTTCTCTGTGGCGTCCTTCTTTGGACTTTATATATTCTTTGTCTTTTTAGTTTATGTTATAGGGTCCTCCCCTTTTCATATAAGTGTACTCTACCAGTGTTACTTGGAGTGCTGCCGTTAAAGACAGTCAGTGAGAGTTCGGCAGAGGACAGTAAAAATGCATTCAAGGAAATAATACAAAAATTAACTTCAGAGTTAACATTGACACATTTCGATCCCGAATTATTGCAAGTGACGCGAGCTCACATGGGGTAGGTGCGTGTATTTTACACAAGATGCGGAACAGTACAAACAAACCCGTTTCACACGCATCTAGATCATAAACCATAAGAGACAAAAATACTAACTCCCCCCAAAAAGGGATCTAAGGAGGTGGTGTTATGGGGCCCTCCCCTTTTTATATAAGTGGACTCTACCACTGTTACTTGGAGTGCTGCCGTTAAATACCCAGAGTTAGACAGTCAGTGAGAGAGGATATACGGAGAGAGAGAGAGAGAGAGAATATACGACTGAGGTAACCTCTTGTAGAAGTCAGTTACAAGAATGTAGACTCAAAGGAAGTCCTACTTCGAGACTGTATATATCTATCTGTATTTGCTACTAACCGCGTTCCTGGATTTACTAACAGTATTACTCTTTGTATGGTTGTGTAAATACATTTTATTTCTTATATTTAATCATTGCGTTTGTCATTCCTTGGAAACCGAATTCATCTCGGAATCCACAACAGTTTACTTCTTGCTGTTTCTCTTTCTATTCTTTACACCTTCCTCTTCTTCATCACCCCGTCTTCGTTCTTTTACTTTTTTATTATCTAAATTCTCATCTTTTCCCCATCAATGCTTTCAATTTATTATTTAATTTTCTTAAAATTTATTAAATATTAAAATGGTCAGTTGTTTTTAGCGATCCCAAAAAGTATCTGGCTCATCCTGTCAGGGCTCATCTTTACAAGAGTGTTGCCAGACCAAAAGCAAAGTATTGCTTTAATATCTGTGCTAGAGTTGCTCAATTCTCACTTTCCAGGCTCAACAAATTTCAAAAGAGATAACATGGACTTGTAGGTGATTAATTATCTTCAACCCTTCAAGCACTTTCCCATGGATTAAACTTCGCAAGCCAGTCACCAGTCTATCGTTGTTTCCAAATGTTCAAACCAGCTACATTAATTAGTTCTGCCATTTCAGACATTTAAATATAGAACCCACATGCCAGGTTGATCGTCTTCATTCCTTCCGTATTATAATGGTTCCACTTTGAAAGATTATCACCAAGAACATCTACTTCCGATAGGATCTTTGTCTGAGCGTTTAGCGTCGGTCGTTATCGAGACACAAATTAATTTGAGTGGCTCTTAAGCCTTATATTGGATGAACAACAGTAAAATATATTCATCTTATCTACTTGTTCCTGTTCATTGCTTTAGGGCTTCAGTTTTCTTTTCTAATTTTCGTTTTTTTTTCGCTAGATTTTGTCCTTATCTCTACGTCCACATTTTGTTCTCTTCTTCTTTGTCTTCCCAAAGTTTTTGTCATTTTCTCTACGTCTTCACTTTCTTTTCTAGTTCTTCTTGTTTTTTCGTTACGTTTTTGTTTGTTTTACTTATTTGTCTTCTGGTTGCTATCTTCGATTTATTCTTTATTTCGGTTTAATTATTCCCCGTGTCTTTATCTTGCCTTTGCCTACGTTCATTTTGTACGTTTTCGTCTTGTTCTATATATTGTCAGCCATTTTTCCTCACGAATTTCTTTTCCTTCTCTTTTTATGTCTTTTGTTTACATCCCTGTCGTAGTTTCTGCCTTATTCAGTGCTCTTTTTTCTTCTTTTCTTTTTGATCTTTCTTTTTTTTTAATTCTCTATTCTACTTGTTATTATTTCTTTTTCATGTTTTTCCATATTTCCATTTTGTCTTCTTTTCTTCTGAATGTTATATCTTCTTTTATTTTTTTTTCTTTTTAATTTTCTTTCGATTTGTTTATTCTTCCTTTTCTTCTTTTGAATCTTATTTCTTCTTTTGATTTATTTTCTTTCTTTTTTCTTCTCCATCTCCTTTCTTCTTTATATTTCTTATTCTTCCTCCTTCTTTTTCTGAATCTTTTTCTTCTTTTTTCTTTTTTCTATGTGCATTTTCTTTTTTTTCTTCTTTTTTTTTCTTTTTTCTTTCTTTCCTTTTCTGATTTTCCCCTGCGTTTTATGTTTTTTTTCTTTTGCATATTTCTTCTTTTCTTTTTCTTCCTTTGTTTCTCTTTCATCTTACTTCTTTACTCTTCTATTTTTCTCTTACAATACATTTCTTCTTTTCTTCTGTCTCTTTCCTCTGTCTTCCATTCTTCTGCATTTTATTTCTTCTTTTATCATACTTTTTCTTTTTTTCCTTCTGCATCGTCATGCGACAGACTATGCTATAATAAGCGGGAATCTGTATAATTAATTTGAAATCTGACGTTATTATAAAATTTTGCCTTTAACGCCAAAACTATTTTTCTGACGTCATAATGTCACGAAAATATTTAAGAGTTTTTTTAATTATTGTTTTTGTTTCGTAAAATACATCTATTGCATGCTTTAGTACAAATCGTCAGTGATGTTTCTAGCTGAGGTTCATTAGGCGTTTCGGGTCTTTCAGCCTCATATCCTCTCTCCACGATGACCCAGCCGATAGTGATCGGGTATCGACTTGTGTATCTTCCGTTGTCTACAATTTTCCCCATCTTCCTATCTACACACCATGCGATTCCTCTTGGCAATTTATTGTCCAATCGCAGATGACTTCCGGTTCATCAGCGAGGTGCGCTCTACCATGAAGCCACACATTCTTTTTGGTAAGGGACATAGCTTGAAGTACCGAATTGATTCCCCTCACTGGGACATATATAGACATACGTGCACACACAGAGAAACGCACTCGAGCTTCACATTCTGTTGATACTTATCCCATTTTCATTAAGGTTAATCATCCGCCGTAGGAAGACAAAACAATTTTTTTACTTTTTCTCCTTCCCACTTCTTTCTTCATCCTTGACCCTCCGCCTTTATGAGTTACATACAAGCACACACATATCAATGCCGACACACACATACCAACATACACATACAAAATAACTAAAAAACAAAAAACAAAAGGAAAACAAAAAATACTAAATGCAATTACCCTGGTAGGGTAGGAAACAGCTGCTAGAACTTAGCCAGAGATCACGCGTAGGTAACAATAGTTCGAGGTTCCCTAATTCTGTCCCTGAGTCGAGATTCCATTGTAGTATAGTTTTAGGTCATACACCTACAAAAAAAACAAAAAAAATTAAAATAAAATGTAACAAATATTTCGTTTGCCAAATCGACAAATTATATGTTGATAACTTCAATGGATATTATTTTTTAAAATTCCGTTTTTCGCACATAAATGCAGGAAAATTTATATTTGTGCCTGTTAAGAAAACATAAATTGGAAAATGCTATACAACAAATTCAATAAAAATTGCCATGACTTGTAGAATAAAAACACATTAAACCGTGATATGAATGGAAGAGAGAGAATAACATTGAATGTGTGGGAAATTTCAGTCGGAAAAAAAAAGAATTGTTTCTTGTTATGAACTGACAATTTTACCATGAGAAAAAAACAACGATCATGATTTTGTTCTTATCTGAGCAAAAAATCCAGAAGGAATAGAAAGCCGATCATATTATCTTCTGCTAAAAATAATAAAAGAAAGAAGACGTCAGTTGAATAAAAACGAACATCATATTCATTTCTAGAAAAATGATACAATTCAAATGTAAAAATTGTTTTTACTCGTCAAATACCATATTAGGTTAACTGAGATTAGAAAAAAAGCCTCTTTGAATACAAGTTGTATGTATAATATGAAGAACACAGTAAGTGAAATAGACAGTGTGCAACAAGCAACGGCTAGACATGATGAGAGAGAAATGAAAAGAAAACAACTACAATACTTAAGAATGGAGACATGACAAAAATAAAGAGAAATAGATATACAACAAAGGAATAAAATGCATGTATATAGGTATTTTATAAAACTCACTTTGACCAATGAAATGTGCGTGTAATGTAATGGATTGTGCGATACGGCATGTGAAATCGAAGAAATGAGTTCGAACCTCAGACAAATTGATTAAATTCACCTAGCCACAAATATTTTTGAGAAAGGCATGAATTTATCTCTTTTCTCCACAAATACAGGGTAAATAGCATGATACATTGGGTTCTATTGCCTTGGTTGGTACCGGTCTAGATAAGGTGATTCGATAAAATCACCCATCTTTCAGTAGGCTTAGACCCCTTAGGGGCTGCATGAAAACGCAAATTAACTTAAATTGTTCGGTAATTTTTGTTGCACAGTCATAATGGTCGTATCAACTCGTAGTTCGGGTAAATAATTGTTGTGACCAAGTAAATGGTTAAAGAAATAACAAAACAAGTGTTGCAGATATATCATATATTAAACAGTAAATACAACAGAAGAGTATTACATGACTAGTGAGTGTATGCCGGTTGACCCAGCGTTCAATCTATTTGACTGTTAATATTTACCAGCCTCCCCACGAGGTAGGGTGTGGCACAAGGCCAAGTTTAATGTATGGCAATCCGAGCCCGTAGATTCGGCCAAAAATTCCCCATAGACCTCGTATAAAACGGGACCGAGTTGCTTTTTCCCGAGACGAGACTGTGCCCTTCGACATAGCCTCGTCTGGCGATCCTCTCTACCCAGAGGCAGAGAGTTTGACCAGCACAGCTGGAACAGATCTATTCGACTGTTATATTTAACAGTCCCCGCCAACAGGGATATATGTGGCACGAGTTTACCGTGGGTTCTCCGGAGCCGCAAGCTCGGCCAAAAATAATCCCTTAGACCCCGCATAAACGGATTCGGGTCCTGTTTACTTACCCGGACGAAACTTTGTTCTTTGGCAAAGCCTCGTCCGGGTTCCTCCCTGCTCAAGGCAGAGAGTTTGACAACAAAGTGCGACCAATCTAGTCGACTGATCCCCCAAGGACTTCTCTCCTACTAATCTTATAGTAGGCTGAAGAGTCCAACATATACCCTTTAGAGGGAGGACATCACAACAATATTATTGTAAAGGAAAACACTGGAACACAAGAGTAGTCAAGGAGCTCTTTAACTACGTCGATTAATATTGCAATACTAGAAAAATATCGCAGTTAGTGCGACATTCTATTGGACTACTGGTACTACTGTACTGTGTGCCACTTGCGAATACTTCAATAGTCTACACTTTAGTTTAGCAAAGGTCGGTCGTCTTTCAACATAACATGCATATCTGCTTTAGGAAGAGTGAGTGAGTGAGAGAGAGAGAGAGAGAGAGAGTGTTTACTTGGTGTTTTTATTTTAATCTGACTCAAGATCACTGGTGTGTGGCACCCAGCGAAAACTGCAGCAAACGAACTTGTAAGTTTGCCGCTGAAATTGTAATGTTCTTGATATCTGAAGCATAACTGACAACGGCAAATTTTAAAGGAACGATTTATAAACATATCTAAGGAATTATTACCCTACATTACAAATGATAGCATAAAACTTAATACATAACATTTTATTTTATTCAACTGCGGACTTCGATCAGTGTGTGGCCACGAGTGATCTTTATATGAACGTAGATCTTACACTCCAGTCTCAAAGACTGCCCATGCCATATTTGGGGTCAGTGTTTATCTATCTATATCTGTAATACAGTTCTTCCTGAGGAGTTCCTATATCGGAGGAGTCATTGGTGGCCACCAAGTGCTGATCCCAGATGATAATATCAATAATTGATGTTTATATGTTTTACAACTGGCATTATGATAATATGTGGGCTAGATAACGATTTACGTTCGATTTGAAGACGTTAAGATTGGAATGATCGGTGAGGCATCTTCTCGGACGTCTGATACACAAAATAGCGTTTCTTGGGAAGAATCTGTCTGAAATTTCCATCTTAGCTATGGAATTCGAAAATAATGTGGCGGATTCGACTTTGTGCACGTGACATGGCTGGACTTAGCTGTAAATGCCCGAATTCGTGGAAGTAAGGAATGTAGCTCCCCAGAACATTTTCCCTGGATATAGCGATAGAATAACAAGAGGATTGTGGCGTTTCGTTTGCGAGACGGGTGCTATAGAGTGGAAAATAAGGCATCGCCCATGTTGTGACCAATGGTTAAGTAATAACAAAATCCAGGTTTTCAGATATATCATATATTAAACAGTAAGTACACCAGAAGAGTATTACACGACTAATAAGAGTGAATCAAATGAACTAGCACTCGATCTATTCACAGATCCAGAAGCCTTCTGTACTACTAATCTTATAGTAGGCGGAAGAGTCTAACATTGACTATTTAGAGAGAGGATACCACAACAGCCCACAAGGACCTGTAAAAAGTACTTCTACAATAAGTGGGGTAGGAGAGCACTTACTAAGTTATTGCAGAAATAATTCATTGTCGGTCTGCTCAGACTTTTCTAAACATAGGGGCTGACAAGATGGATCTGGAACTTCTCCGACTAGTAAAAGGAACTGGCCATTGTTCTCTCGTGTTTAGCGATATATATGAGTTTCAATTGAGGTCTGAAGTGAGGTTGAGGTCTAGATTCATTTTGAGTTCCACAGACGTTCAAAACAACGCACCTTATTCAGATTAAAATGCCTGGAAGACATTTCTAGGCCGCTTGGTGACAATGACACGTTACTAGCTTCCTTTTGGGTCTACCGAATAAGAAAAGCTAGATTTTCGACCACTGAGCTATTAGACATAGATCAGAGTAGAGATTATATGTATAGATTACTTCTCGTGATCTCATCATAAAGGCTTTTGCAAGAGCGCCATTAAAACGTGGTATTTTATGAATGGCTTTATAGAGATGTATATGATATTGGAAAGTAACATTTAATCAACGAACATCCGTGAGAAACAATGAAAGCTGTTACAAGTAATG